ATGACGTGGACAAGGTGCTTGGACAAGTACGTCCTACCACCTGCTTACTGGACCCTTGCCCATCTTGGCTACTCAAGCAAGCCAAGGATGGGATTGGGACCTGGATTCTGGAGGTTGTCAACGCCTCTCTAAGGGACAGCCGGGTACCTGCCCCTTTAAAGGAGGCGGTAGTCTGGCCAGTCCTAAAGAAGGCATCCCTGGATCCAGAGGTGGCCGCCAATTATAGACCGGTGGCCAACATCCCATTCCTGGGCAAGGTGTTAGAGCGGGTGGCGGCGGGACAACTCCAAGCACTCTTGGATGAAACTGATTATCTGGACCCATTTCAATCTGGCTTCAGACCCTGGTTTGGTACTGAATCTGCCTTGGTCACCCTGTATGTTGACCTGTGCAGGGAGAGAGACAGGGGGAGTGCATCTCTGTTGGTTCTCCTGGACCTCTCAGCGGCTTTCGATACCATCAACCATGGTATCCTTCTGGATAGGCTAGCGGGATTGGGAGTTGGAGGCGCTGCTTTGAGGTAGTTTCGCTCCTATCTTAATGGCTGATTCCAGAAGGTGGTGCTGGGGGACTATGGCTCTGCACCATGGCAATTATGCCATGGAGTTCCGCAGGGGTCCATTTTGTTCCCCTTGCTATTCAACATCTACATGAAACCGCTGGGAGAGGTCATTAGGAGGTGTGGGCTGCAGAATCATCAGTACGCTGATGATACCCAGCTCTACCTCTCATTTTCAACCAATCCAGGTGAGGCAGTGGCTGTACTGAAGCAGTGCCTGGCCGAGGTAATGGGCTGGATGAGGGCCAATAAACTGAAGTTCAGTCCAGACAAGATGGAAGTCCTGTTGGTGGGTGGTTCGGGCTTCGGGATGTGGGACTTGGACCTTGTCCTGAATGGGGTTGCACTCCCTCTTAGGGACAAGGTTCGCAGCTTGGGAGTGCTCCTTGACCCAGAGCTGTCATTATAAGCTCAAGTAACAGCGGTGGCGAGGAGCGCTTTTCTCCAGCTCCGGCTGATCCATCAGCCGCGTCCCTACCTGGAGAACGATTGTCTGGCAACAGTGACACATGCATTGGTAACTTCCTGATTAGACTTCTGTAATGCGCTCTACGTGGGGCTGCCCTTGAAGACGGTCCGGATACTTCAATTGGTGCAAAACAAAGCTTCCAGGTGGCTGATGGGGGCTGGGCATTGTTCTCACATAACCCCAGTCCTCCGTCAGCTTCACTGGCTTCCCATTGAAGTCCGGGCTCAATTCAAGGTGTCGGTTATCACCTATAAAGCCCTCAACAGCTTGGGATCTGGTTATCTAAAGGAGCGCTTGCGTCCATATATGCCCTCCCGCCCCCTGAGTTCGGCGTCAGAGGCCCTCCTCCGGGAACCCTCCGGGAAAGATATTAGGAGGGTGCGTACCCAGAGGAGGGCCTTCCCTGCAGTGGCACCCCACCTATGGAATGCGTTCCCCAGAGAGGTACGCCTGGCGCCATCATTATTTGCTTTTCGGCGCCAGGCCAAGACCTTTTTATTTAAATGATATTTTAACTGTTAATTGTTGTTGTTATTTAATTATTATACACCTGCTGCGATGTATCTGGGTTTTTACATTTTATTCAATATTTGTTTATTTGCTTTGTAAGCCACCCCGAGGCTTGTTGCAAAGGGGGCAGCATAAAAATGCTTTAAATAAAATAATATCCATCATGTGAAGTGTGGCCAAATAGTGGTCAAATGTGGATGCTGAAAGTTCTGAAGGCTCCATAACAAAGGCAAAGGAGGCTGAAAAGGACTACCAAGCCATCAGATGCCTTTCTTTGCCTACAGTTTATGTCTCAGTATTCCTCTCATGATACCTAGTTTCACAAAGGGCTTGGGAAGGAACAGTCAGGAAAATAAGAAAAAAACAGCTGACCAGCTGACTAAGAAATAAGACTCCACAATCCCCTTCAACTTCTGTTCCTATCTGGACCAGCTTTCGGCATTCTCAACAGGCTGGCATACATCTGAATACTTCTCTCATGATGTAGTCATGCCCTTAATTTCTATATGGTGTTGCTATTTTTTTTCTCTTTCTTTCCATAGTTTTCTTCCTGCGGTTATAGAGTTCTATAGTAAGGCAAATGTGTGAAAGCTGAATGTTAAGAAACTTTAGTTATATTTTCAGAATTGCTTTCACTTCTTCCCCTCCTCCAGCTCTGAAGAAAATATATACTTTATATTTGCAGAATGACCTCTTTTTCCTTCCTCTCCCTTCTCTAAGGGGATATGGACTCATCTGCACACTGTTCCATGAGGGGTTGAAGGATTAAGCTATCATTTAAATATCAAATGACATTAGTGAAAAGGTCATAGTGAAAAAAAGGTCTGGGAAAGGATTTATTCTCCATCACTGATAGTAGCTGAATGCTGATCCTAGGCAATGTGCTATGAGTAAAATCCATCTAGATGAAAGCTAGATTACTAACTCTGGTTTATTACACCAGTCAGAGGTTTCTTCCGGGATTATATTTCTCCTGAAAACATTTGAATCATAAGTAATATCCACAGTTCATTTAGTGAGAATTTAAAAAATAGTTTTGCTCCACTGCTGCTCCAAGTGGTGCAATCTTAGATATTGCTAAGCATTCATTTTATGATAAAAGCACATGTAGATACAACCAAAACACAGTACTTTATGATTAAATAAAACAAAACAAAAATCATGGGATAGGGAGACAATTCAAGAATCTCTATTTTAGCACTTTTAGTTTTGGAAACTCTATGTTGTATGAGCCAAGAAGAAATTTGTTTTACAAAAGCTGAACAAAGCCTACACCTTTGTGCAAAATCCTACCAGAAATACCTAGAATTCCTTTGATAAGAGAAATCATATTTTGTCCCAGGATATGCAGCTTTCATTAACACTCTGACATATCAGAAGAACGCTTTGCTGCTTAGTTCCAAGGTAACAGAACTTTGTTATAGAGAATGAACGATGCTCCTTAGTTTCTTTCCATTTCAGAACAGTGTGGATGGCTTTGTATCATTAGCACTATTCCCCCAAAGAAGTATTCTTTTTAAAACATTTGGGCCTCAGTATTCTAAACATGTCTTTCTTTGTACATAAATTGGGTGGGTTATGAACTCTTCCTCGTGCCCTCTACTATATCTTTTTTTTTACATCTAATCTGGCTGTATATTCATTTGCTACTGCTTCTTTTATGAAGATGGTGTTTGGATGTTTGTTTGCTATCCCGAGAGGTACATCCCCAAAGTAGTAAGATATAAATCCTCTTAATAAACACTGAAATACTCTTAATAAATGCATACATGTTGCAGCAAAGTAAGAAGGTGTAGATAAGTTCCAGCTCATCTACTGCATTCCTCAGTATGCAAGCAATTATTTTGTTGTGCAGTGGTGTAGCATAGCACTATACTACATCAGTCATGCCATTATGCCAATTCTCTTCTGTCTCACTCTTTCTCAAAGTAAAAAAAAAGTCCTTAGAAGATAAGAAGCTTTAGCTTTTTGACTCAAATTTTTATAGACCATAAAATAAATTAGCTGTGAAACTATTAGTAATTAGGTCAGATCTCTCATGCCATGCAAATCAGGCTGCGTGTTATTCATGTGAATTGTACAATAACTTCACATATTAGACCATGCACTGCATTTATGAGATGCACTGTTGCTTTGGGGCATTATATTAAGCCATTACGGAAAAAACGCTTAAGCTAAAAAGTGATAATGGACAAAATGATAATTAAACCTGCATCTATTTGCTCCATAGTCGTCTTTTCTGTCTTACTCTAGACTAGATGCAGAGACCCTGATCCAGAATGGGGAGGGGACAGGGGAACTTAGCAAAACCAGGACTCTTTTTCTTACTACAGTAAAAACAAGGAGAGAAAAGTCATATCCAGACATCTGAGGCATATGAGACCCAGTGTGGCGTGGGGGTTAGATTGTTCAGCTGGGACTCAGTAAATCTGGCTTCTAGTCCCTGCTTGGCAGTGAAGCTCACGGGGTAACTTTGGACCAGTCAGAGACTCTCAGCCCAAGCTATGTACTTGCCGGGCTCTTGTGAGGATAAGATTGAGCAGAGGAAGAGAATTATATAAACTGCCTTGAGTTCCTTAAAAGGAAAAAGGTGGGATATAAATACAATAAATGCATAAATAGCTACCACGTGTGGTTTTTAAATGACATCTCTTCCTCTTTTGGCCCATAAGAAGACTAGATGGAAAATGTCACACATTTTGTTATTGTTTTTATATTTATGCATTGATTCCCATGGCAGAAAGCGGTCTCAGAGTGACTTACACACTCAAAACAAACAAAATTGTACAATTAATGTATTGGGGGAATCAATATAAACCACAATAAGTACAATAACATGAATAAAAATAAATACCATGATATATAACCCAGTTATTGGGCAGTACGGACTGAAATAATTAACAATAATAACACAGTATGAAAACTGGGGCAAGATGAATGAAGGGGTGTTACAAAGCAGGTCTTGGCTAACGAGTAGCATACCATTGGCTGAGTTTCTGCAAAGAGCACCTCAAATATTATGAAAACCCTTAGTACTATTATATGTGAAACCTTTCCCTAGAGCATTGATTAACCCTTAACATATTAGGAAAAAGCCTGTTTCCAAGTGGAATGTAATACAACTGAGAAATATACCTTTTGATTGATCCAAATACACAGCAAAGTAATTCTATTCTTATATGTCTAGAGTATGTACATTTGATTACTTCCTTCTATGACAGAAATAATAATAATATCTTTCCATTTAAAAAAAAATCATTTGTTTTACACTGAATTACAGGCTGACATTTCACAACCCTCTGAGAAAACTCCTTTGGCAAAAAGGGAGACTGAAACCAAATATTCTATTATTAGTTGCTTGAATGCTAAAAATGACACTGAGAACTGTGGTAGAAGAGCCAGAGTATAAAACAACAGTAAGGAAAGCAGTTTTCTGGCTGACGGCAAATGCTCTGCGCTTACCTCTTTTATCAGGTTCATGAATCTGGGTCCAAAACGCCATGGCTTATGCCGGTGACACTGCAGGGAACTGACAGTCATTTGGGAAGCACGCTGGGAAGCCACTGCGACCATGTAAACAGCATCATACATCAGAGCTGCTTCTGTCTGTTGGGGGGGAAATAGAAAAGGCATCTTAGCCAACATCTTTCATTACACCCTAGTGTTTTTTCCTTCATCCACTTCAAAATACTAGCCTCCTGACAAAAATACAAATTAGTCCTGTCAAAAGCCCCATTTTAAAGGGAAATCCGAGTTTTTACATCACCTTTCAAAACTGACAGCTCCTGTAAACGGGGTGGCTTGCACTTTTCTGAGAGTGGCTTTGTTTCATCAGTGTCCCTGGAAGGTGTCTCCTGCACTTTGGCAGCAGACATTTCCTGGATAGTACAAGGTAAGGCTTTCTTTTTTAGTAGCCTGAAAGTACACAAGTGACACTTGAGAAAGAACCTTCTATTTTTTTAAATAAAGAACTACATTTGCACAAATCTCAGGTTAGAAGTGCCAAAGCAAGAATTACTTCCTTGTGCCACTTGGGCACTTTGGTGAGGCTATCAGTGGCTGCTGCTTCAGAAATTGTGAAGGAGATTACAGTCTCCTCCCAACAACTGGAGCAGGGAAGCCACAGCAAGCACAAAGGTTGATGGTCAGCAAGGAAGATGCGAAGGCAGTAGCAATAACTCCAGAGTGCTGCTTAGGCATTTGTTAGAGCAGCTATCACTGGCAGTGGCCCAGGTGAGCTTTGCAACAGGAGCAAGTGCTAACTGCTGCTCTTGCCAAGTGCTTTGCTGCCTCTTTCCTCTATCCAGGATTCCGACGACACATCTCTCCCAATATCTTCTGTAACAAGCCATGGGTTGTCAGATTTGCTTTTTGTGCACAGACAAGCCACCCTGTGGAAAGCAGTCTGGGTTCACATAACACATATTATAACTTTAACTAGTTACTTATTACTGGATGCCATATCATGAGAACCCAATCCAGATTTACTTATGCTTAGAGTAGGACCTTTCAATCAGTGAGATTTAAGCTAAATCCGGACTAACTTATTTTTCATTTATTTCAATGGGTCTAGTCTGGATGTGATCAAGTCAAAATCTAACCCAATGTGCAATTATTCCATCTTTTCTTCCTTAACAGATTTATTTCTGGTCAGAAAAGAGACAGAAGAAGCAGAAGGAAGGCATGGGGGTGGACAGCTATGTCTACACCATAAAATTCCATGAACCAGGTAGGCTGATTAAATGATAAAAGTTTCTGCTGGAAGCACCCTTTTCTGATGAGATAATGTCTAAATTGGCATACTAACCCACTTTATAGATATTCTGCTTGTTAACCCTGCAAATCCTTGGGGAAATTAATAGATTAATTCTATTTCATTAACCCACTTAAATTGCTTAGAAACATTGGAGAATTTTATAACCATATGCAATCAGAGCTTATCAGCTAATCTTTAATGTAGTACAGATCTGGGATCATTCTTGACACACCAATTAGGATTTGCATACAGTCAATAAAACAAATTAAAATTGTCTGAGCAGTGCTCTGTGGCAGGAGTCTTCACATTTTTCATATCCAGACACCAGCTTTAACCACACCTTACAGAACGGGAACTGCTTTGAATAGCTGAATGTGAATTGCCGTCTTTTGGCTTCCCTTTATATGTTTTCGTTGGTACATTTGTTTGATCTCCATCAAAACTGGAATTGCTGAGGATGAAATGATATGTGAAATATTTCTAATGTACACACCAACAGATTCTCAGTCAGAGGTGACATGGGGCTTTTAATTGGCTGTTTATCTGCTGCATATACTTTTGGCTTTGTTGCAGAATTGAAATCAAAGGACTTCTACACGCAATATTTCCTTCCTTGCATTTCCACTACACAACCTCAAGGTGATATAGCAGAATAATGTAAACACATTGGGAAGTAGTGCTTTCCCTTGCTTTCACACCTAAATGTTGCATTTGCTCTTCTCTAAAAGAACCCATCAAAAGTTCTTGTTATGCACAGAGCAAACTTGAAGGGTCTCAATGCTGTCTGAAGAACCCAGAAACAACATTGACTAGGAAATGATGAGCATACAATGAATGCCTTGTGTACAAAAGCCCTGCAAAATCTGAAAAAACGTTTCTAGTGCTAAATGCACAGCCCTAATCACAGGCATCTCTTCCCATTTACTCCAGCATCTTTGTCCTACAAAACTTTTCTTACTGGTGATGGAAATCTTTGATTTCCTTTAGCATATTACAAAGTTATGTTGCCATATTTCCTGTGCTGCAATGCAGCTGTTCTTTTGAAGGGATTTGCATTGTTGGGCTTGTACTTTAATTGCTACATTTTATAAAGCATTCTGGAATCTGTTTTGACTGAAGGGAGTATAGAAATGTTGCAAGTAAATAAACAAGTACTTAATACACTGTTGTTCTCCAAACATATGGCACCAACAATTCTCAGTGTACATTAGAAGACAGAATTATATTGTTCCTTCCTAGATGGCCTATCTAACTAGGCAATAGCAATGAGGAATGTGGTAAGTATACCTGTGATACATAACACTATTCCACATGGACAGAACCATGAATTCTTACATATTCGAATTATACTAGTGACCTCATTACGCCAGGGAGTTATGTGCAGTCTGGGTGGCCCTGCCACCCAGCAAGATAGGTGACATGCTTCTGTTAGCATGATTAATGGGACAGTGAAACAGGAATTGTCTGAATGAGGGCAGAGGAGAGAGATAATTTCTTTTCCACTTCAAGCAAGGCAGGGGTGCCATTCTGCACTACAACAGGCAGCAAAATGTCTACGGCCAGCAACGTTTCCAGATCTATTGCAGGAAAACACTACCTCATGGAGAGCCAGATGTCTAGATGGCTCACTTCATATTTCACACACACTTCTGAGAGTGCAAAATGGGCTGATCAAGGCATAGCTTCTACATAGCCCTCATTGCTTTCCACACAGTTGCTTGCTGCAGCCTGCAAAGTTATTACATGGGCTACAGCTGTCTAAAATAGCATCCAAGTTCTCGTCTCATCTGCGCTATGCTGAAACAAAACAGTAATTCAGGGCTGATTGCATGAAAAAGTTGTCCAGAGCAAAGCATGCATTTCACTCAGTATTAACCAGCCATGAGCATGGTTTCCGCATCAACAACCAGAATTGGCTTTCCTGATAGAAGAATAATGTGTATATTCCCTTCTGCTTTATGCCATCAGAGCCAGCAATGCTCTACTACTTACAGTCATCATGCCATCCAGGAGACCAGTCTCTGGCTTGGGTGGTGCCTGCAGTCGTTCCATTGACCACTTCTCCATAACTGATGCTACTTGCACATTGTCAATGCTGAGCAGGCGAAATCCAGTCATATTGACTCCACTGTATCGGTAGGGTTCCAGGTCTAGTGCGAACAAATCCTGCACCACCAAGAGGCCATTGTTGATGTTTCAAAGTAGATTGTGTAAATGATAAAACATTAAACCAGCTCAAACACCTGCCAGTGCCAGCCTTCATTGGCAGTAAGTTTCAAAGCTGCAGCCTATGACCCAAGTAATGATAGTTCTCTAGCCTTTTCACCTGAGAAATGGAGAGTACCCAAACTCTAACATGCATTGCCACCTAGTATCATGGATACTAACAGAATTCATGAAGTTTTACATCTTTTCATAGCTGAAATACTGCAGCCAAAGATGAAACTCAATCTTCATCTTCCTTGATTTCTATCAAAACACAAAAGTACTTTTTCTTGTTGGCGCTACTAAAAGCTGCATTCATCATAAAATGTAGATAACTGTGACCAGAGTGGGATTTATTAGATATCTCCTATCTGATTTGTTGCAAGGTAAAACATTAGAGCATTAACACTAGAGCTTACAGCATTATTTTATAAGCAAGTTGCACTGGAGTATCTGCTCTTGATTTATATTATCCTTGTAATAATGTTACAGCTGTCACCAAAAAAATAAAAAATAAAGAAAAGCGCAGAAGAACTGGCTGGCCAATGCTGAAAATATTTTCCAGCCCTGGGAAAGAAAACTCCCAGCAATGTGATGAACGATACAGTTTTACTACTTATGAGCTTCATATTTCTCTTGTCTTGCCAGCTTTGGTAACTTGCTGTCACTGTGTCTGATATATGTGTCAAATTGGCGAAGAAGCAGTTCTGTGCATATTAGAAGGTTGCAAAACGGGGATCTAATGGATGCTTTAAATGATACTATTTTTGTGACACATTTCAAAACTGTATGTCATGCACTGAAAAAGTGCAGGGCACCTGCCGGTATTTGGGAAATTTGTTCAAGGAAAACATCTTGAAGGAACAGGTGCAATTGGTGTCTGGATACTGGCCACCCTATATGGCACTGTCTCCACCCACCAGGATAACAATACTGCAATTGCTTCTTTAAATTACAAGATACAGCATGCAACTTTAGATGTCACCTTGCTAGTACTTTATAGAGCCAGGAAACTTGTATCAGTTAAAACATGTTTGTTTCTTTCTTTCATCCATCCATCCATCCATCCATATCTGCTTATGCTTTGTATTTCTGCAGAGCTGTTTACATGGGGATATATATGACATTTCCCATGATTAAGCAAATGGACTCGTCAGAAAGGTCTTTAAAAAAGAAAAATCTCTTCTGTACCCTGTTCTGAAGCCACATAACAATTCTGAGAATACATTATACTTAAATAAGTTCAGTTCATTTAAATGGAAACATGCATCTAGAGGGGCTGTGGCATTTTTGCATGCCCAGATCTGTGGCCAGAAAAGAGCTCTGACTTCAGAGCTGGCGATCCACTCTCGGATCTACACACACGCACATACACACACACAGCAGCTTTCATGGAAAGAGCTGTCCTGGCAGCTTTTTCAAGGTCTGAAGAGCATCCTCAGAGAAGGGGTAAAGAGAAATTCCAGGTGGAGGGGAGGAGGGATGAGACTGGCTATGCCATGATATTCCATAAACTAATGATACCCCAGCCTCCTTTCCTCCTCTTTCAAAATTTCAAAGTTGGCTGTCTAGTTGTCTAGCAGGGTGGGCAGAGGGGGTGAAGATCATTTCCTAGTTCATCCCACCCTCCATAGGGTGCCTATAATTTTCTGACTTCAGAAGTTTTCAGGCATCACCACTGGACGGTGTTCTAGGTATGTTTTTTTTAAAGAATTGTGCAATAATTGTAACTTTAATGGCTTTTGTTCTCAAAGATTTTGTGTTTAACAGCCATACCTAAAATGGAACTTATCACCCTCTTTGACAGTGCATTTTTTAATAAGGAGATGGCCTTACTGTCATTTTTCAGTATCTCTGCCTGGAAAATACAACTTAAAAACAAGGAATGTAAATAAATGTGCACTAAAATTTATACACATCCTATCCATGAGAAGTGTACATTTAACAGCAATAATTCAGTGCCATGAAGAACTCTCCTGGCCCAGAGAAGCTATAGAACAAGTTAAATGAAGCACTGAAGCCAAATAGTCACACTCTTTGGAATAGTTTAGATTTTCTCTTTTCCCAAACATTTCCTTGGATTATTTTTATTTTATTATTATTATTTTTAAAAGAATGGGTTAGCAGGCAAGTGACTTCTATGCCAGGGAGAAAAGTGGAAGTGGAAATACAGGTGCTGAGTGTGGCCAATGCCTCGGCCACTACAAGATGGCTCTACTGGCAACAGTAACTCTTAGCAGTTAAGAAGCACTTTTCATTTGTAATTGACACACAGAACACAGAGGGAGCTGAAGGTCTTCAGCTGCTTCGGCTGTAATAGGTACAAATTTACCAACATGTCTTACCAGGGTTGTAAAAAAGTAGTGGTAGTACTCAGTCATCATTCCCATGGAGAGAATCTGTTAAGAAAGAGAAGAGCAAGGGGTAGATAAGCCAGAGTGAGAAGCCAGAGAGCACAAACAATAAGCATTCAATGTGAAAAATCACCGCCGCAAACACTATACCAGTTTACTGCATGGCTTGTATCATTTTTGTAGGTCTGCAGAATAGCCCAGCTGTAAGAGCAATTTCTGCAGAGCTGCGGAATAAACAGTTCCCTCTTTATAATAATGGCATGGTTAAAATTATTTTAATACCTGTATGATAGCTGAAAATAAATTGGCATTAGGCTTCATTCCCTGCCTTCACCTCGCCCTATGAAGAGGGGTTTAGGACAAGGTCTTAAGCACAATTCCTTGTTCTGAAATAGAGATATGTCAGAAAAATATATTTTCAGACACTGGCCCCACCATTATGCCAAGCAAGGCAATTGATTTTAGGTGTCGTGACACAGCAGCAAGTTGTCATTATTATTGCATGTTTACAGCAAGAGGGAGAACGCATGCAGGACTTTCTGCCTCCGTGCCAAAATAACTGAGCTCTTCCTGTCTACTATGTTGTTCTGCCTCAGGCAGCAAATCTCTTGAGCTTCTAGTTTTTAGGGAGCCAGAGGTATGAAAATCAGTACCAGTAAATGAAGGAACAGTGTTGGGTCTTGTTTTTAGTACACATTTTCCTCTCTTGTAGACTCTACAACAAATTTCCCCATCTGCCATTAAGGCATGCAGATAATCAGGAAAGGATATGGAGAGAGGCCTAGTAAGGCGTGTAAAGTTCTGGAACATCATGTACACATGTTGCTCCCTCAAGACTGTCCAGTGGGAGAGGAAGCAATTTCTCCAGGATCCTACAAAATAGGGTTTGGGCAATTGGGCCCTACCCAGGTAGTGTCACACTGCTCACATGGGTCTTTTTAGGAGGTAGTGGTAGGGACCCCAACATCTCGTCTGCACCAGCCTCCATAAATCATATGGCTGGTGTTGCCTTCCTTTTCTCTCCAACACACATACACACACTGCTTCCAGGCACATGCAACAGCCAGCCAAATGCCACTGATCATGCATTTCATAATATTCAGCACTACAATGGGAAAAAAGGATCTCCTCAGTGTAAAGCACAACTACAGGATGGTAACTCTCCATTATGGTTGATTAAACCAAGACTCGGAACCAGCTGACAATGTTCTTGTCTCCACAGGAATATCAGCAAGCTTCATCCGAGTAATAACGTTCCATCTGTGGAACGGAGTCAATTCCAGGCCTTGTGATAGCAGATAGCAGCTGCTGTAATATTAAAGTACTGTGTGTATACTTGGAACTCATATTGCTATCCTGGGGGGTCTCCTTCTGCTCACAAGCTTTTAGTGTAAATGTACAGCAATAAAATTGACAGAGTAGCCAAAGAAATTGGTCTTTAAAAAGTGAATACCCATGGGGAATTGATTGCTCAAAGGAGCCACAAAAAGAATGATCAGACATAGCTTTGAAACTCTTAATATGGTCCAAACCTCTGCAAGCTAAAGCCACCTTTCTGTGAGAGGTACAGCTTCTTGAATGGGAGGAAAAGAAACCTAAAAATTTTCTTTTGACTGATCATCTTATAGAGGTGAACTAAAAAAAAAAAAGTGCTGTTGTTCCAGGCCATATGCAACTTCTGTTATTAAAGAATATCTTTCATGGTATTTTTTTTCTAAGAAAAAAAGCAAACTCTGCAATTCAGTTTTTATGTCAATAAACCACCACTTGCCTTCCAGTACTTCCTGGCCTTCAGAGGCTAATGCACGTGTGTGCTAGATTGCATTGCATCTGCGGGGTCCTATGCTCCCTTACAAGGCCTGCCCTGCATGAGTGCCTGCAGCATGCATGCAGGCACTCATGTAGGTCTGTCCTCTCATTGGTTTAACAGAGGAGCCCTTTAATGCTAAAAATGGAAGCAGGCACTGCCCTGTGTCTGTGGTTACTGTCAAACTGATGCGTGTTGAACCCTACTATTGCATATTCTTATTATTATTATTATTATTACCCATTTCTGTACCACTTGATAGTCAAGGTTTTACAGGAAGTTCAGAGGAATTTATAAAATTCACAAACCACGAACTAAACCATATACAAAATGTAAAACAGGATTTAAAACAATCTGGGCAGCTAGAATCATTTCAGTATAACTAGGCTGACCTAAAACTCCCAACCCCATATGCACACTGAAAAACCTCTGAGGCGAGCTGAATAAATGGCCATGGTGGGCTGGATCCGGCCCCCGGGCCATATTTGAGGACCCATGCTCCATTTATTCCATTGCTGCAGTTGGGGACTGACTGAGCACATCCACAGTCTCACATGAGACATCCAGGAGCATCAAAAGAATCACACTACCCCATCTCTCTCCAGACACAGCTCATCATATAAAACTCAGCCTGACTGAAACAGGGGCAGGTTCTTTTCTTTTTCTCTTGGAGGTGCTCTGTTGAAGAGTTTCTATTCCTATTCCCTCACTCACTCAATTTCAGTTCCCCCTGTTTACGCACTTCCTTGTCAGGGGTCTGAATGGAGGGCATTTCTTCTTTCCTTCCATCAGACTGCTTCATGTTGTTTTCTTGCTCCATCCATTTCTGCTTCCATCACTTTATCCATTTCAGGGTTTTTCCCCCCTGCCTCTGAGCTCCACTGCCTACATGAAACTAAGCTGAGAGCCACCTCATATAACTGTATAGTTATGCAGACAATACGGTAGGGGCCAAAGTTCTCACTGATGCCTTTTCATTGTTTCCACCTGCACCTTTAGCAAGATCTAAGCATCTTTCTTCTCTGCCTCAGGCTGTTTTCAGCTTTAAGGTTCACACAGCAGATTAAGCCATGCTGGCTTAGAAGCCATGGTGATTTGCTCAGCACTCTTCCCACAGATCACTCTGGATGGCATATAAACCACTGCCCATAGCGTGTAGTAGTTTTTAATGAACCCAGCATGTCCTATCATATTGTTCAAACTCAGGGAACAAAACAAGCCACAATCAAGTAAAAACAAAACAAAACAAAACACAGCCCCAGTCCCAGCCCACCTGACGTGGTCCTGGGCTGCCCTTGTATTTCGAAGCATGGATTATATGGTGACACTTTTTGAAAAGTCAAGTTGCAGCCAGCTAAATGGCTTGGCATGGCCCAGGGAGCATCCCAGTTCTCCTGCAGTGTCCCCTGAGAGAGTGCACAAGAGCTGATGGGGGCAAGGATGGGGAAAGAAGATGGTGGAGTGGCGCACACCCCCTGTTCTGCCCGGGCATCTGTCAGGTGTTCCCATATCTTGTCATGGGAAGTCCAACCAAAGCACACCTGTGCTGATTTTGTGGACCACTCTGTACTAGCAGTCATTCCTGGCATCATTCCATATAATTGGGATTCATGGTGACCATTTTCTTCAGCACAGATCCTTTCAGCTTCATTCCCCATGACCTCACACTATTTGCTGGGTGCTGCAGAAGTGTGCCAAACTGGGTGGGTGAGTGAGGTGCTGCTGAGAAATCTGAGGTGATATAGCAGCCACTTTTGCTGCCTGTGTCCTTTGACCCCTCACCGCATGCCTTCTCTGGTAACATTTGCAAGCATGCCCTGCTGGTTCGAGCTTCTTGGATTAAGCAGTACTGCAGCACTTGTCAAGACTTTTGGGAAGGAGTTCAAGCTATTCAGCCACTTGTTCCTTATCACGCATACACAGAGTCACATCCTGATCCACTTGCACAGCTACTGAGGAGGAAAGTTGCATTTATACCACCCACAGCTGCAGCTGCCACTTATCTCAGATCAAAGTCTGATCACTAAACCGCTCTGCACCCTTTCAATCCCTCTGGCAGGTTTCCTTCAGCCTCTTGTTTATGCCTTGCCTTCCAATCTATTAAAATGTCAGCAGAGTATAGAATAAAGTGTTGAGAATGAGAAATTAACTGGAAAATTTAGATGTTTGACTCCTACTAAAGCACAGTTCAAAAGACACAAGCTTAGAATTCTCAGAAGATGCAGTTTTCATCATTGGCTGAGGCTTTCCATATAACTTTTTGTTCAAAGCATTTAAGAATATCACAGAATGATTGGGGTGTGTAAGATGTGTTGCCTGAACAGCCTAGTGATATCTGTTGGTATAGATACTACCAACCAATTTTCTCCAGATCACAGAGGTTACAGACTCAATCAAAGAAGTATTAGATATGAATTCCGTGTTGTCCAGGGCTTTACTTAATAACATGTAATCATATCTCCATTAGAGACAGAATTCAAGCAAAGCACCATCCTCTGTCTCATTTGCGCGCTCTCTCTTTCACACACACACTCTTAGGGAGAACCCCCCTCTCCTGCAATCCATAATATTCTGCCATATGATATATAGTCCCTTCTGTTTTTCAGGCTATAATCATATTGAAAACGAATCTCATCTCTGAATTTTGCTCAAGGATAAAGTGAGAGCAGCTATGCTTAGAATTGCATTCCACATTTCTCTGCTGTTTGGATCCAGCAGAGTGGCTGCTTCCTGGACACCATGGGTCACATGAGACAGAAGCAGCCATCTTAATCTTTGACTATAAAGCAAAACTTTCTCATGTGAAAAGAAAGAGTAAAGTGAGAAGAAAAGCAATAGCAGGAACAGATTCTGCCTTCAGTTCATCTATTTTATTGTGCAACTGATAGGAGAAAATGTGTGGGTTATAATAGTATTTTATGGCCCATGAGGTAAACCTAACCCAGTCTTTATAAGTAGCTTGAAGAAGCACACCGGAGTACCATCTGACCAAGGATATGAGCTTCTGCTGCAGCTTGAATCATTGTGATGGATACTGTGGCAGAAAAGCAATGTGCTACTATTTTAGGAGCCATCTGCATTGCAACTGGACTTTTTCAGGAATGCCTGAAAAGTGAGTCCTGGGATGTAATGATGTTAAACAAAAAAAAGATTAACATTCCCAAGGACAGATTCAACAGATCAGTCTATTACCAGTGACCTTCAACTATTGGGAGGTGTAGAGAATGAATGAATGAATAGTAGTCAGTGTTCAGTCATAAATCCCTTTCCTGCATCTGTCTGAGAAAATGCATAGATTCACACACATACATTTTATCCCAAAATATGCATTTTTCTTAGCATACAATTTTCATGTGTATTTGGCACCATTTTTGAGCCAAGAGCTGAACTGCCAAATTTAACAATGGAAGGATTATTCTGATCCATGATTAGTAAGTGAAAGTGATTCAGGTCAGTCTAATAATATGGACCAAACTGTATCTTTAGTCATGCATCTTCAGGCAACGAGTGAAGCCATTAACTTAAATACATTGGCCAGTATTTGTCATTTTTAACAAAAATGTTCTGAGAATATTTCGCTTTTCCATGATACCAGAGGAGTACCAGACACTGTATGGGCCCTTGTGGAATATTAGACATGGGTGATCCTGATGCTCTCTGCATGTGTACAAGTTTCCCCTTGCTTTCACCGAGGAGGGGATGCATATATGCCGCTTTATCTTGACACTGTAATGCCTGGCTCAGACTTCCACCACACCGGATGCAGTCTTCAATCTTACACCATTTCTATTGTTATATTCTGGATTTCCTGAGCCTGGTTTTATCACTTTTTATATCTTCTTACAGATACCTTCCAGTATATATTCACATCTTTGCTGTCTTCATAGCATGAAACTTTTCCAGCTGAGGGGGCGAACAGCGAGCAGGGAGAGGGGAGTGGCCCAGGGTACATTCTGTAGGGCTGGGGGAGGAACTGCCCTGCATTTTGTGTTGCTGTGGAGGCAAATATTTGCTTTCTATTTTTACTTTCTTTTTTTAAAACTGTACTTGCTGTTTCACAGCTGCACAAGATAGTGTAAAAGAAAGTGGAAGTACCGGCCTCCACAGGTTGATGCAACACTGCATCACGTGACCTTGGAAAGAGAGCCCTGAAGTGGGAATGTGTCTAGTCCAGCCATTTCTTGCCCTATAGGCATATGGCTTTGAATATGATGGCCAGTTGCATAAAAACAACACATACCACACGCTATTCCCCACAACGTGCCCTACAAGTAACAAGTATACTGGAAAAACAGCAGAACAGTGATGCCCCATAACAGAAAGCTGCCTCCATGTAGATCGGCCCTTAGTTATCAGTTTCCTGGCAAGACATAAGCAAGTTTCTCTCAGGCTTTTACCAGCTCTGACTCTGTTTCCCAGAAAAGAACTGTTGTGGTGCCTTCAGAAACCCCAAATAAATAAGAAAGATAGTAGAACTGGTTTCCCAGAATTGATCTGTTTGCCTCTGTACTCCACACAGTCACTACACACCTATGTCCAATTACAGGAAAACAAGAGGAGGGGAGAAATGATTAGGGATGGATGGGATAATTGCACTGTAGCAGAAGATGCAGGACAAAAAATGTAATCTATATTTGAAAAATTCTTAATTGGCAGAGTGAACCAGCTGCAATTCCCCTGACTGGAAGAAGCCTTGACTTTATCATATGCCTGCAGTGATATCTCCCATCTCAGTGACTGACCTTGAGTATCTACCAAATCCCTTTTTTATCCTTAATCCTCTCCTCTCACCTCTTCCAAGAGAAATTAAGTTTTAGGGCTTAAATCTGCAAAGGTTCACACAGGCGCTATTTCTTTATCGATTGTATGAGAGGCATGAACCCTATTCATGAGTCCAAGATCAGACAAATAACATTGTGTGGGGTAAGAAAGCAGGCCTGTCCCATCGGCTGCATCCCACCATCATGTTCCTGCCATCTCACACTCCCCTTTCGAGGCACTGGAGGATGGTCTGCAAAAGGGTGCTTCTCTTCATCTGTAAGCTTCCCTGGTCATTAAGGACTTGATTATAGGCTTTGCTTATTAGTGTGTGGACTGCAGGAGGTGAAGCCAGTGGGCATGACCCCACCATCCTGCTCCATGTAAAGTTAATTGCATGATCTTGAATACTGAATTAGGGCTTTAATTCCCCATCCTTGAGAATCTCCCCAGAATGCAACTAGTCCTGCCATCATACTTTTGCAGAAGCAGGGAAACCTGTCACGTTTGATGTGGCTGAACTACAGTTCTTGTCATTCCAATCTGGTGTGGCTGAAACAACATCTGGAGGATTACCCTTGCTGATAGTAGAAACAGATGGTAAAGGAATGAATGGGATGTTTTTGGCTCTTGGGCTCCTAAAGTCCCAGTGGCTCCAGTCTTCATGGAGGCCAGGTCATGCTATGATGAAAAGAAATACATTTCCTGTAAAGGGGAAACAGAATTCTTGGATTTGAACAAACGATATAGAAACCCTGGAAATAATTTACTTAAGTGAAAATTGGATACTTTAAAGGTGCAAATCCATGCCTGTTTTGATGGAAGTAAGCCACTTTAACTACAATGAAACGTATTTCTGAGTAAATCTATTTACATAACAGGAAACATTCCATGATCTGCATTCCACAATTTTGTAAACATTTCAGTATTTGAATGTATTACACATCTCAGATTCTCTTCAGAGTCCAATAAAACTCCAGTAACTTTCAAATATTGCTTCAGATATATTCCTGTTATATGTATATAGCACAGGGGTATAACCCAATGACAGGAAGTTGTGAGGGTGGGCAGGTCCTCTTGCCATGACACCCCAAAAAACATTTTGTGTGTCCTGATTGTAAACTGAATGAGGCTTTTTGCCATTCTGCTAAGAGACCCAATTATTCATTTCTTCCTTGAGTTAATAGTGTTCTCACATTGCACATTATCATGGAGACCTGGTGGTTCCACTGTGATTTTTCCCTATGAAGGCCTGTTGAGTTTGCTAAAGATTTATTTTTTATTATCCTGTACTTAGCAGCATTCCAAAGTTCACCCAGTGTTTTCTCAGGCACTGTACAAAATATTGTATTCGAGCGGCAGTGAAGCTTCTCCTAGAGCAAGTACAATGTGCATGAAGAATAATCCTTAACTAACTGATCCCACGGGGAAAATACACTTTGTGCACTATCTACCAGTGCTGCAAGAAGTGAGCAAAGTGCCTTGATAAAACAAATGCAACAACAGATTTCCGCTTGAGATTTAAAGAACCCTGGTATCCCTGTTAATGATGCATACTTGCAGCCTGCAGTGATTTTGTCCAAGTACTGATTATTTACTGAGATCAGAGGAAGGTCATGGCCCATACTGGGCGTTCCACCAGCTTATTGGTCTCAGAAATCAGTGCTTGTGCTAGGTATTCAGCCTTGCAACTGAAAGTACAAGGACTCCATTTGTGCACTACTAGACTCCAATGGAATTTTATCAAGTCATATTTGCCACACTGTTAGCATTATAAAAGATTGGATATCTGCAATACTCTAGATTACCTCTCTAATGTACAATACAGTGTAATCCCTGTCCATTTGATACATAGCTCCTGAAAGATCTCATAAAGATCTATCTATTTATAATCAAATTCACCTCGAGGGTTCAGAATGTTTCTAGAGGGGCTATCATTCTGTATTTCTTTATATAGATCTCTTAAACCCTCTTCCAAATGATGAAGATTTATGGTTTGTAGCTTCATCTCTATTTTATTATGTCATTGCGAATTCCCTGAATGGACACACATCACTCCCACAAGTTATTAATCTGAACAGAGCCTCTAAATTGGGTGGGCAAGATGCCAACCAGCATTTGGATATGGGAAGACAGCCTGTGATCTTGATTTCTTCCCCTTTTAATCCCAAACCTCACAAAATTCTAGAAAAACTGGAGGAACCAGGCCTCAGCAGAGATAAGTAAACCCTTCCTTGTAAAAACAGGAAGGCAAGTTTTTATTCATCAAGCCCAGTATTTTCTGCTCTGATTCACCTTCAGCTTGATCCTTCTAACTAGAAATCCCAGAAATTAAACCAGAGAACTTCTGTAATTCTACTGATCTTTGTCTGTCCTGCTCCCCCTTTGGCTGCTTTATTCCATACTAACTAGTTGTTTCCATACATTCCCACAATGTTTACACGTACATTTTTAGGGCATCTATACAGGATACTCAATAGCATGATCTCTGGGTAGCTTGCAGACATAGTAAAATGCAGGATTCAAATAAGATACCACAAAACAACAAAATGCAACATAAAGAGAGATCACCTGTTTCACAATACAGCTAAAATACATTGCATGGAAATAGGAGACACAGTTACATTTTTTTAAAGTTCTGGAAGTATTTAAAGAAGTATTTGCTGGAAGGCCTGTGTTGAAATAACCATTAAAAAGGTGCCATGTGTGTTTTTTTTTTTCCCTGAGGATATAGGATCTGCATTAGGATAGTTTGTACATTAGGATAGTTTGGTTTTGCAATGAGCCAGAATCTACATCTGGGCTAAATTAGGCCTATTCTAGTATATTTCCCCAGCTGCACGGAATGTTTGCATACTAGCTTTCCTGCTGTGAAGGAGACATACTAGTATTAGATGCTGCGTAAGTTTGGGGCAGCATATGCACTAAAGAGGTTTTAACCATGATGCCCATTGTGGAGAGGGCTGACCCAGGGGAGGGCTTTTTGGCAGCTTTCAGGGGCTCTTTAGATATGCTTAGACAGGTTTTTCTTGTCCAACAGAGGCTCAAGGGTCCCCAGTGTTGAGAATAACTGCTCGACCATGTGATAATCAGCCAAAATCTAATCCACCTGAATGCCGTTTAGTACTTTCCAGAAGCTGAAAGCCAGATGGCACGATCACTTTGAAGGAAACAAATGGGCATTTTCCTCCTTTTACCTGTTTGAGGATTTCTGCTGCTGTTTCATGCGAGCAATCAAATATCACATAGAACTCTTTGCCCTTCTTCATCTCCTTGAGCAAAGGCCGGGCATCTTTATTCCCCGAGGGCAACTGGCGGATTTTGATTTTAATGTTGTACCTAGAAGGGGCTTTGATGAGTTCTTGCAGGCGAATTAGACCTAGAAAATGACAACCAATAATTCAAGTAACTGTTTGATGCAATGAATCTTTACTGTCATTTAGACTCAGCTAATTTCACCATTCCACAATATATTTCACGTTTACCCCACATAAAAGCTTCATGTGCTAGCATACCATTTATCAGATCTTCCAGTGCCAAAGCTTAAGAAATCATTTCCCTTTATGAGTGCATTTAACTAGAAAACATTCAGCACCCAAATACGCTGAGAAATTTTCCAGTGCGAAATTCTTTCCCAAGCCTCAGACAACAACAACTCTTAATCTTACATATAATGTGTAAAAACATTGCAGTAAATCCAAAGATTTAAAGATCTGTAAGCCACAAAGCTGTACATTGCAGGGAAGAACCTATCTCAAATGTTTCATGGAAAATCTGGTAAAAGTGGATTATTATGATGCTTGTAAAATGCAGCCACTTTACAGCCAACCTCTACAAAAAGAGTAAGATGAGGGAGCCTGCCAGATGAGGGTCATGAAAGAAACCCAGGAACTGGAGGGGACACAGAATTATGGTAGGCTCCACACAGGAAAAGCAGATCCAGCAGATGAGAGCAGGCCAGGATAAAAGGGGAGAGTCATTGGATGCAGCACATAAGACTAGACCAGGAACAAGCAGAAGAGTTGTGGTGGAATGATATGGAGAGAGACAGAGATCAGAGAGGTGGAAAGAGAATGAAGCAAGGTAGTAGGAAGATAGAGTTTTGTTGTGAACTGGATCCAAGGAAGGAACCAGAGGTTCTGGGAACACAGGCAGCTGTGATGGTGTCTGGACAGAGAAGTCTAAGGGCTAGCGACCATTTTGACTTCATTCCAATATGCATCCCAGACCTATGTAGCTTTGCCAAGGTTGGTCCAACTTCAGTGAAACTTGCTTCCTAGTAAGTGCACTTTATGATTGCATCTGAAACCTGCTCAGATGCAAGGACAGGTGGAAAATCAGGCTGCACATATTTGCAACAGACTAGGCTGTGTATTATCTACTTTGTACAGCAGGTAAATATAACCTTTCAAATAATTCCTTAAATGTATTGCATTTGCCCTCCAGTTATATATGAATCTTGTGTTTTCATTCACACACACTCTTAAGATGTGCTCAACTAAGCCAAAGAAAATGGGCTTTTAGCTAAAGATTTTGAATTAAGGCAAGAATCACTTGAAAAAAAAATCCTCTAACATATGGTAATTATGAAGATGAACCATCAGCATAGCAGTATGAGAGGGTGCATTTGATTTACTTCCTGTATGAACCTACTTAGCATCTCTGGCATTAGAGCTGCACTAATAGAATGCAAAGTGAAGCAGCATAAAGAGCCACCCTATTTCCTCTGGTGTGAAGTAGCGATTGCTATGCTGCAAGCTATTGGCTTTTACTCAAGGCCTCACATTGCACAGGGAAATTGACTTTTTTCCTTGGTAGACTGATTCCCTCCTTTCAGTTTTTAAGCACCCACAAACCAATACAGAATATGAACCATTATGAGTATTCAGGCGGAAATTGTAGTAGCACAATACGAAGCATAGTCTGGCTGGGGACTCCAACGACCACATTCAAGTTCGCCAGCTTCCTGAAAGGACTTTTTATGCAGTTGATGAGCAAGCAGAGGGCATATGTGCAAGTTGGCTGTAAATCCACAGCTTGGCTGTATTAGGCAGCAAAGAACCCTCTTGCCGAAGGTGCTCCTTCAGCCACTGTGACACAAGTTAAATTAAGAGAGAAAAATGGGGCTTCAGGCACAATAATTTCAGGTGTAATTTCCGTTTACTGATAAAGGCTCCTTGGCTCAAAATGATTCCTTTATCATATGGTGTTGTACCGCACAAGAAGTTCACACCATGGCCTCTGGGAAATTTTAGCTGTGGGGAAATGGAAATGATTGAGGGGAGCGTCTGACTCAGTAGGGAGAGCCAAAACACGCAGGCCACCTCTCTTGCCTCTTAGAAGTGCTTGTGCTACTGTAAAGTGTGTGAAAAAAGCACCCCACAAAAAGCAAGTGTGCAATGTTATTATTTGTGTACATGTTTATTATGAAATGTTGCTTTTAATTGGTATTTTTGTAATCCACTTAGAGAGTCCTTGGGGCTAGTTTAACTGTGGAATATAAGTAAATGAATATCTTTTTTTTAAAAAATCCTTCTTTAGTTTCTGATCTCAGTCCTTCACAGCAGTACTCAGAGCCAAACCACATACTACTTTCAGTACATAGCATGCACCTCTGCTTGTGCCTTCACTTTCCCCCAAAGTCAACTAGAAATACCTAGTGCAGAGTCTAGTGTGGGTGCTGGAGGGGCATTCACCCAAGGCATGCTTCTGCAATCCCAACCTAGACTAGCCTCTCACACACTCAATTTGCCTAGGAAAAGAGCCCCTCTGTGCTTCAACCCAGATCACACCACAGGGTGCTTGATCTGGATGGAAAGCATGAAGAACTACAAAAAGAACTCAGAGTGCCATCCTTGGACTATTTGGAAGGAGGCCCCACTGCTTGAATGGCTTTAGTAAGTGAGTGACTTTAGGACTGCTGCCCTATAGCTCAAGCACATTCCTGTCTTCTCAGCAGCACCTTTCATTGACTTCAGTGGTTCTTATCCCTAGGTGATTATGAATGCACTAACCAAGAGAGAATAAGGATGCATAGGACTGTGCTGTACAAGTCTCAAGGTTTCCACAAAATTTCCTGCCCTTATGGAAATCATGCATACAAAAATATGTAGCATAAGGTGTCAAAGTGTAGGGAATGTCCACAAACTAGAATATCACTAGATCAAATGTTGATGAAAATGTCAATGCTAGTGCAAATATTTATAACAGGCCTGGTCTGAATGACCCACTAGTTTCCAACCATATAGTACTTGGTGCAGCAGACTAAAGACACCAGTCACATGCCCATCCTGTTGATGTACAATGTCGGAAGGGAGTGTCTTCTTTTACCTCTGGTAACAAGATAGCACAAAAGTTGATTTTTTGACTGCCGCACTGTCTTGTGCCTTACCTCTCTGCAATAGATTGAACCAGGCACTTTTCTTTCTTTGTTGCTTTAATACTAGTACACAAGCTAAACAAGAGAAAAGTTCCTGGAATAATCGACTCAAAGGAGATAAGGCACCAGGTAAAGGGATGTGTTGGTGCATCCCTCCTCAATTATTAAAGTAAGACCTTTCATCCCTCACTTTATATATGCTAGCTTTTGCAAGTTCAGTCAGCTCTTGGAGTGTCATGCTTTCAAATGAATTTGAGAGACCATCTGTAATAGTTCCACTAAGTGTGCACACACATGCATGCATGCACACGCACACACAAAGATGTTCACTTGTATTGACTATTTGTTCTGTCTATTCCTTCGACACTCATTTAATCTCACAGCTGATTATGTATCTACCCATACAATGGATCTGTGAATTCATAGTGTCTCATTGTAATGGAGGCAACAGTTTTTGATGAAGGCACTCTTTTGATAAGCTGTGCAGAGAGAAAATCTTTCATGTCTGCCCAGAAGAATATTGGATGTTACATTGCAACATTGCCAGCTGAGCCACTAGAAATACAGAAAGTTAAGAGGACTAAAGAGTTTAGGCTGCAGCCCTATATCCATGTTCCTGGGAGTAACCCCCATCAAATCCATGTAGGGGATTTCACAGTTAATGAAGTCATCCATCACTGCTTGCACTGGCTTTACAGTCAATATGTATGGCCATGTACACACATAACAGAGTTAACTTCCTGCCTCTCTTGCCCCTCCCATGGACTCTGTCATCCTATCTATCTCTGATTTGCCCTCTGACATGAAGAGTCCCATGCAGCATGACTACTCAGAAGTAAATCACACCTTTAATGGCATTTATTCAGTAGTACATCACAGTGTCTTCAGCAATACCTAGTGAGCATGCAAACTGGGCTGCACCTGGTTTCATTGGGTGCAAAGGAATGGGGCCGCTGATCCTACTGGCGTCATCACATGGGAAGTGCGAGAAAAACCACAAGCACCACCACAGTATCCCCTACTTCTTTTCCCATCACTTTCCCTTTTACCATGATTTTTGGAAAGGCTGACAATTTGTATCCCTTAAAAAATCTCCGCTCTTTGCCTCTTTGTTTTCAACACTGTGGAAACTCTACTGTACTCATTAGCGGTACATGCGTTTTGCTTAAATTCTGCCACAATCCTTCCTGCAAAGTGTAAGAGACCCAGTATATACTACCGCCTGACCACATATATAAAAAGTTTTCTGGATTTTCCCCTAAAAGAATTCTGCCCTACTATGATGTTTTTCCTATTTTCCTACTTTCTTCTCTTTATAAGCAGCATCTTTTTTCAGGCTAACACAAGAAGTTTTATCCTTAATTAGAATTAATAATCTAGAGAGCCTAATTCGCCATTCCAGTATTCTGCACTAACTGCCTGTAACAGCATTTTAAAATCAGCTATACTGTCAAGTTCTCTGGGTTATAAATTTTGTCACTTGCCATCCTTAGTTTCATCTATTTGCATCTTTATTGTAGCTCACAATACAGAGAGCTACTGTGTTCTTTTATAGCGGTGGTAAAACCAGAGTCTATTGTGATACCAAAGGGCAAATCATTACCACATAAAGTCTGTATTTCTTCTTTTGAGCTTATGTTGGAGTATGTCAGGAACTAATATTTCCATTGCATTTTTATTGATGTGAGAGAATGAAAGTTACTACAACTTCGTGAACTTCCCAGAAAACCTGAGCTTTTGGCAGTACAGTAATGTGTAGTAAATTTATAAAATTAGAGAAGAATTCAATATTCTAGGAAATCTACTATATATAATGTCATTTATTATTATTGCAGTACTAAACACATTAGTAGCAAAGTAGAGAACCATGTTTGCCACTAGTATATTTGATGATATGAAAATACTAAGCATAATCCCTGCATCATATGTGGCCAAAACATCATCAACCTAGCATGAAAGGAAGGTCTCTGCAAGCTTGGGACAACTGAAAACTCAGAAAAGTACCAAAGTATGCAGGAGGAAAACCCCTATAGGAGGTATACCCAATAACAGCTAGTGGAAGATAGGGCTTGCCTCCTGGGGTTGAGGCAAAGAGAATGAATGATATGGAGTATTCCGGAAAAAGGTCTGGCTTCTCCCACCTCCCATTCCACATTCCACACCACAAGAGTTTGCTGAAGCTGCCATGGGTTTACAAGGAATAGAGTATCTTAAACTGCTTCATGATACTTGCCTGTGCTGTCTTCGTATACGACTGTTACTATCTTCCAGTTGTAATATAGCACCAAATCCAAAACTGCCCTGCTGATGGCTGCATAGTCTGGGTATAGGTTGATGTAAAAGGAATCTTTGTTATCCACTGTTGGATGTTTCCACCGGGTCTGTATATGTGGGACTTCAAGGGCATTGCAAATGGACTGTACTGCGCTGACTGATGAGCTGTGAGATGGTCCAAAGAGTGCAGCTACTCCAAGAGCAAGCTGATCACATGCTGTGAAAGAGAAAGAGAGAGAATGAGAACCATGATGCCCAAAGGGCATTTTTTGTTCCTTTCCCTAAACTGATAAATGGAACAGTCTGAATTGAATTTGTGTGGAAAGTGTATACACACTTGAGGGGAGGAAATGACCTATTCACTAAAGACTGCAGCGTCAACATTTTCAGCTACACAGGTAGCCTGTTACACAACTCCATGAACTGCAAATAAAAACACAGCAATGGTTTCCTTTCCTTTAGATTTGTCACTCATGATGGTTCAGTGGCTTAGAGCAATTCTATCAACGTATTCCCTGAATGAGAGCCTGATGCATTGTGATTCATAGCACAGTGGCCATAAATATAGAACTTTCATTGCGATAGACACTGTAAGAATTTCCAAGCTACCCAACAAATTGATATTTATTGGCATTGCTATTTGTTAATTTCAAGCCTAACATTCACCAACAAGATAGCAGATCATTCATCGGGACACTTTTCATGTGGCAAAGATGTGCTCATTTTATGGGGATTCTTAGTGAAAGCAAAGATCCTTAGAACTACTAATATTGTTTTTGCATTGCATATTTTTAAAATAAAAGAATTGAACAATTTGAAAATAAGTTTATGGACATTCATTTTGGTCCCTAAGGAGGCTTAATAAAATTTATGGCTGTATAATCATGTCATTATCCTGGAAGTAACATATATTTTTCACTTTTACATGTTCTGATTTAGCAATCAAGTGTAATATTCTGAGGAACATGTCAGAGAAATTCTTTTCTCATGCTTATTTCAATATCTATATGATAATTCCAAAAGCTGCAACATTGTGCAGTACAATACTAGAACAGTCCAAAGTATTTTCAAATTATTTTCAAATTAATCACGCAATTGATAAGAAGGAGTATGTAGATATTCACAAAAATGTGGCATCTGAGAAACGAAGTGTTAAAACTCTCTGAAGACTAACAGTACATGCTAAGTATTCTGGCATGGCACTTCAGTGTGTGACTCCAGCTCCAGCTGGAAACATGTTCTCCTGCACCAAAGTTTTCCATAGAGAACTATTTAGCAATCCAACAACTTCCTGAATACCAAGAAACTTGGTATTTACTTTGAGTTTTTAGATTATTTTCTATCATTTTCTTGTACTTGTGGCTTAAAGTTTTGTTTTTTTATATCAGCCAGAGAGCTTTGGCTAATAGGTCATATAGAAACACAATAAAATAAAAAGGGTTGCCACTTATAAAAGATCGCTAAAGTAGGGAGAACAGATATTTAAAGATGGTGGACTCTACTATTTCAAGACCTGTATAGGGTAACAGGCAAAAAGACCTTGGAGCTCACCAGTTAATGCAAAGGTGTTTATTCCCCAAGCCAGGAGCTAATTCTGATTCAGAGAGTAAGGCCAATGCAGAATTACCAAATGTTTCCACAGGCAAAACCCAGAAAGCTTTCTAAATACTTGAACACATGGTGAAGAGATCAAATAAATGTGCCTCTGCACATTCAGCAACAATATTAAGCACATCTCTATCAAACCTTTGGAAAGTTTTTGGGCACAACTTGAATGGCTAGCAGTAAGGTAAATGTTAAGCTGAGGCTCAACCTGGATATGTGTTTCATCATGTGCCAACTCTTATTTGTCTCAACACAAGCCACAGACTGCATTAGCATGACATCATGCATGTAACTTATAACCATGCTCACCATGGGGCTCATCATGGCTCTTTCTGCTCCTCCTTCCAGGAAGTCTTCCAGTGTCCTTTCTGTCCAAACCCTTTTGTCTCCCCTCCCTACTCTGATGGCTACCCCATTTTGTTCACTGGCATATTATTTCCAAGCCTCACAAATGCACAATTGGGTTATTTTCAAAACATTTTGGTCCAAGAAAACCACATAATTATGTTCGTAAGTAGGTAAGTGCCCATTTGTAGTTGTCCAGTATGTTTAGCACTCCCCAACAGAAAAACCTCAAGAAGGCAGCTGAATGGGACAGAGTGAATGGAGAGTCATGGTAGTAGCATCCCTGTTTTGCTATCTGTATTAAAAAAAAACCTGCTGGGAATATTTGTACAATTTGGGGAATGGGAAGTATGTGCAAATTTAATGGGTAGTAAGTTAAAGCAGTGCAAAGAGTGCTGAAAGTTTATACCTCCCCTTTCTGGAAACCCAGGGAAGTGCTGAAAAAGTGAAAGGCACTCAGAATGTCAGTTCAACACCTAAAACGGAAGATATTGGGATGATACTGTGCCACTCCACCCACCTTTTGATGCACTTCCTTCTGATGCCCCCCCCCCCATACCAGTGCTTTTCAATTGACAACTTAGCAGTTGGACCCTGGCAGCTGTGCCCAGGTAGGCCTATATGGAGTCTTTCCTTGTCATTTCCATGTATGTTACCTATTCCACTGCTGCCTTTGACAGCTGAAGCTGAGAAATAAATCAACCAGGTCAGATTACATGTATTCCACAGCTGCAAAGAGCACGCTTGCTCAAGATAGCAACATAACTGTATAGCAGCAGCGACAGCGACAACAATACAGTTATGAACCCATTTTAGCAATTTTCCAAGGTTGAACTAAAAGAAGGCAAGGTGGCAGGCCAGCAATGTTTCTCCAAGGAGCTCCTTGGGAATTAGTGGGATGGCTCTTACTGACAGTTGGCGGGGCGGGAGGGGGGGATGCTGCTGTTGACAGGCATCTCACTGGCCAACCCTAGAAGCCTGCAATGAAATTGGGGATCCAGTTTAAATGTTGCAACAACCCATCATGGATCAAAGAACCCCTAGAATAAGCCATGTGTTATCAGCATAGCTTGTTGCTGAAAAAGAAGCCAACCTGTGAGAAGCATTTTGGACATGACAATCCATCATGGCCAATTGCCCAGAAGGAGCTGTTATACATGAACCTAGTCATAACTGAATTAGTAATACAGTTAATTCTCAGTTACCATGGATTAATCCTTTTTTTTAATCACATCAGACAATTGGCAAGATGAGAGCCTAGCTAAGAAATAAAAGCACACAGGGCTGATTATCCTCTACCATAGAAAATCTATCATAGAAATTCCTTTTCTGACTTTATCCCTGTTATGTTATGTTTCAGACTTTTAGCACATTTATTATTTATTCAGTGTCTCCAGCTTACATGGGAGTTTCCATAATATTGTAAGTAAAAGTGAAGCCCTTGTGAGAAGATTACAGGGGATGTGAAATACAACTGCAAGTTGATGAAGCATTCATACCTTGTTCCCAAGGGGTTAAAGATTTTTAAGCTTTTTTATTGTTCCACGGGATGCTAGACAAGCAAGCATTTAATCCATTTATCTTTCTCTGAAGAAGCAATACATTTCTGACACATCATCTAATCTACATGCAGACCAGAAGTTTTGCTTCATCAAAAAGCCCACTTGGGACTGTTGATTTTTCTTAAGTACAGCTAGTCATTCACCTCTTAGAGGCCTTCTTGACATATATCATATAAATGGTAATTTATCTCATGCTCCTTGGAACAAGAACCTGCTCATATTTTGATGGATCCACATGTGGCACTAAAACCATAAATTACAAAGGGGAAAATTCAGGATACGCTTTGCAAATCCATTCACTAAATAAAGGAACTCTAGTTTCTCAACTTCAGCACTTCAAGTAGTTTTACAAGCAATGAAATTTAATACCAAGATTGCCATGCTGCTGCTCCTCCCACAAATATTGTGAAGAGCTCTTAATAATACAGTTTATTGCTCTAAAATGCAGAAGTCAATATTCCTTTTCTGTATCAATTTTTAATTTTAGTATTGTTTAGGAAAGTTGAATTGAAAGATATCTGCTACTTTTGCATGCTGAGCCAATTGAAGGAGACTTCTGTGCTTGCACCTGAGCAGGACTGTGATTCAGAAAGCATTTTGTCAATACTGCTATATGGCCAGAAGGGCTTAATTAAACATATTTTACAAGAACTCACACTCAGTGAGAAATGCAAGGCTAATAGCCAGTCTGTTCCTTCAAAATGTTGCTAGTATCACTATGGTGTACATCAATATGCATGGCCCTCTAAGAATGCTTGCAAATTAAACTTTCAAATACCAGATGTCCCATACTGCAGATAGGCTGCTTGTTTGTAAGTGGGGAAAAGAGAAAATGTTTGATTTTCTGTCACATTCTATTAGCATCACAGAGCTAAATATTAGCAGAGAAAATAAGCTCAGTGTTGAGCTCAAGATATTTCAATGTGGCAAGCAATTACAGCCATTTCAAGTAAACAAAGAATTGAACTGTTTCAGATAATGGTACAGTGAAAATCTAGCATGTGGTTGCAAAAGTCTAGTTTGATCAAAGATTATATTAGGGGAAAAACCCTAACCTAATATTCCACTAGCTAAAATTTGCTGAAATCTACCAACTAAATTTAGCAACTACTAAGACAGATAGAAACTTCACAGACAATAGGCACAACTACAAAGAATTATTACAATATTGAAACCATTACCTCGCCTTGAGGCTTCAAAGCTATCGAAGAGGTTAATTCTCTGGATGTCATAGGTTAATGTGGTATTAGGCATCAGTGTTCTGTTTCTGTTAATGTTGGTGACTGCAAATTTGAAAGCTAGCTCTTCAATGTTAACAGGTTCATTTTCCACAGTTTCAAATATCCCTCCTGAAAAAGTAAAGAGATAAAACAGTAAAGGTTTTAGTTCTGTTTCAGCTTGCTACTATATGTTAGACACAGCCAGAATGAAAACAAAGAATGTGCTTCTCAGAATGAGAAGTAAGAAAAAAGAGACTTGTGGGGGTGCATTGCGGTACAGTGACGATTATTGATAGCTTGGGATCAGTTGGCCACCATATTGATGATGGAAGATGCTGAGCTCAATACAAGAGCATAATAAAGAGATCATGTCCAGTTCTGGAAGTGAGGCTGATGTTGGATTGTAAACAATGACGGTCAAAACCACGTATCAGTTTGGGAACTAAGGCTGCAATCCAGTGCATTTCTTCTTTAGAAAGAGTACCATGAGACATGTGCCATGTATCAGTAAACTACAACTCTCTATCACGTTCCTATAACATTTATAATAAACATTTCATTTGAACAGTTGAATTCCCCATATTTGGTGAAAGTGCAGGGATGAACACAACCAGAGTGCTGGACACTTGCAATGCGGTTTTGTGTTACTCTGGATGTCTCAACCTCTGCAGTTTTTCCAAATGTGGGAAATGTAACTGCATGATTTACCGGATAAAGAATCAGAGCTCTTGCAGCCCTTCATAAACGCTTACATTGTACATACTGAGAAAAGGATTGAATGTTAGAACTTTAGAATGTTAGAACTTTTGACTAGGGGCCTTTCTGCTTTGTTACTTGCAAGAATTCTATAATACATGTGCATCCCTTTTTAATATATATATTATCATCCATGTGGTTCAGTGAGTGACATTTATTTACATAATGTTTGATTAGTATTGCTCAGAAATCTTTCCCATAATAACACTATTATTGGATTTTTTTTCTATTGTATTTGTTTTGACTTATGATTGGAACCAGATGTTCTCCTCTTGCACAGCTGACCAACCCTTTGCCACTTCCCTACAAAATTATCCTTCTGTTTTCTGGACTACTTTTTAAGTGAATCTATCAAATTCCCCTTCTCCTTCACACTGACAGCAGAGCCAGTTCTTTTAAAGAGAGAAATAAATAGCCGTGCCATTATCACAAAGTTTCAGCAGGAGAATCTCCAGCTCTTTTAATAAAGAGAAGGTGGATTTGGTGCTGTTGACACTGAAAATATCTTAAGAGGAATATCGCACAGGTCAGGACCAATTTTGATTGAAAAGATAGATTCCATGGAGGAGTCACTAGCGCGGGGTGGAGGATAGAAAGTACCCGTTCCCTGGGAGACCTCTTACTCCACATCTCCAGCTTGTCAGAATAGCATATCATTCACACCCAGAACTACAGTGAACAAATCTTCACACTTGTTTAAATCCTCTATTAATGTGTAAAGCAGTTTGGTGCTGCTTTCATTCAGTGCACATGGCCATTCTAGATTGAAACCTATCAGCCACTCATTAACAGCAACACAGGAAAATGCTGTATGGAAACATAGAAAAAGGAATATCTATAACTGGGTGAAACTACAAAAGAATCACAAATCCATGCAAATATTATCACTGAAACTTCAGAAGCATTTGAAAGGAAACTGTCAACATGTACCATAATTTTCCCCAGAAATTTCCTATCTGAGCACTTACTCAAACTTTCTTTGTTGTATTACATTGTGATTCAATTGTTGCACTAGTGGTAAAACTGCAAGCTAGTACACCCATTTAATGGGCTCCATTCAGCAGTTCCTACTTTAATCCTCGGCTTTCAAACAAAGTCAACCACGTCATAACCAAGTCTATCCCCTGACATCATTTTTCCTGAGCTTCCTCTCTGGCACTGTGGAATCAAAGTGGCCTGCAGAGCTTCAAGTGATGAGATAAGCTGGACAAAGTCTAGAGAATTTACAGTGTAGGATTCACTGTGCTAATGACCTCACATGTGTGAGAGCATGTAACCTCCCAGGTGGTGGTGAAGTCAGTGAGAGGAAGTCTTCAATTTTGTCTTTAATTAGCCACCCAGCAGAGCTTTCTGAGACACACGAGTCCTCATGTCATCTGTGTCAATGAATGGTATTTGGCTATACTTAAAGTCTGCACCGAAAAATGTGCTAGGCCCTTTTACAACAAGATCACTTCTCATCACTGCAGTCTGAGTGTCAGGATTGCTGCAGGTCCTACTGAAGTGTCCAGTGCACCAACCTATCCAGATCAATTTCAGCTCATGAAGCTTGATAGTTTAGACATGATGCTTGCAATTACATGGCTGACTACATGCTCTCTTGACCCCTGACCACCATTACTTATTAGGTCTAGCCAGACAGGTCCGACTGGAAGGGTCCAAGGAATGAGGACTGCATCTTTTCATGAGGGACTTGTGCCAGCTACCTTTGAAGAGACAATTGTGTGCTCACTTCAGAACAAGTCCTACCTTGCTCCAGAGGTCTATGATAACTTCTGTCCATTTACACATATGCCATATTTAGGGAAACTGCTGGGGCGGGGGAGAAGGGCTATCAGAAGACATGGAAGATATGGACCCATTTCATTCTAGGGTTGGTTTTGGAGTGGAACAGTCCTTGGTCATCCTGATAGATGACCTTTATCAGGATAAAGACAAGGGCAATCTAACCCTGTTGCTTCCCTTGAGCTCTTAGCAGCTTTTGATAGCACTGACCATGGCATTTTCCTCCATACATTTGACAAGATTGGATTAAGGGTGACTACATTGCAATGCTCCTATTTCTACTGGTGGAGCTGGTACCAGAGAGTGGCACTGGTACCTGGCAATTGTGCTGTGTAGTGTCATCCATATGAAGCTTCATATGGATGCCAGCAGTCAACATGGACCAAGAGAACTAGAATCAAGACTTTGCTCAGTTATGATGGTTCTGCATGGTTTGCTGTTTCAGCCTATATTTACTAATCATACAGTGGACATAATAACATGACAAGATAAGATTTGTAAAGAGTATTGTGCTTTATTTAATAACGTTATGATACAGCATTATTATTAATGATGCTACAGAGATGTGCTGATGGTGAGAAATCCAGCTTGTTTGAGCTTGCTGGATTCCCTGACTTCTTCCGATCCAATAAATGGAATTAGGCCAAGTTGGAGAAGGTACCCAAAGACTCCTGTCTCTAAGATGGGCCATAGTTTGTACAGGGTTTTTTGTTTGTTTTAATGTTAAGCAAATGAAAGCAATCCACACAAATGTATGCAATTTGTACAAATCACAAGCCAGCACCCACAAAAGCAGATTGTGATCACAAGATTTGTACAAATTGTGTGATGACCACATGCTTTTTTGGTGTTGATTTGTAGAACTTAGCTGATTTTGTGCAGTTTTGTACAATTTCTTGCTAAACTCTGAAAATCCTCACAGATCCCTCCCTTTAGGCAAATCACATGATAAGATGACTGGCCAAGGGAAATGGAACACTTCATCAGTCCTTCAGACTCTGCATTTCTTTGCCGGCCACAGAGGAGAGAACTTTCTTCTTCCACAGGCAGTATGGAAATTCAAGATATTAGCCTCTGTGCAGGCTAGTGAAAAAATAATGCAGGCTAGTGACTCTTGTGGTCACACTGACAAGGCTAGCTTTAAGTAATTCTTCTCCATATTGTGTATGTCCACACACAGATATATATAGCGGATTGTGTTCCTTAGATTACATTAATCTCATGGCCAGCTTTTCTGGGAATGTGGGGTATAGTAAATGCATAATAAAAAGGGTGCTCCAAGGAAGGTTCTTGAAGCATCAGCTTCTTACTGCAGCTCTTGATTTGCATGTATAATTTACTCATGTGGTGCTAGCCACCAGAGGATACTTTAAATTTTCAAGTCATTTATTTCCCCCTGTGAAACCTTCAACTCACATATTGCTTTATGTTTCCTAGTCAACAAAATATCATCTGCTAATGTACTGCAAAGGCTCTCTTGATTTTGATATGTTGCCGGCATAGAACAGCACAGTCATTATCTGACAATCAGGAAATGGAAATACGCAGTACAATTACAACCTGCTTTATATTTTAACTCAGCAGTAACACTCTTAATAGCTCTTAGAAGAAAACAAGATTGAAATGTCATATGCATCTAGCTGCTTTTTAAGTAAGCAATATTAGGTTTACCATTTAAAGAATATGTAATTGTATAGATGATCGCATCTTAAACAATTTTGCTATTATCAGCTCTCTCTATGCCACGGTTGACTCAAGACTGTTTATCCCACATTTCCTGTAAGCAATGAATAACAGCAGTGCCAGCCAGGCAATGCACCCCTTGAAGGGCCTCTACTTAGCCTTTCCCCATAGTACTTCATTTGGATTATAGCACCAACCACTGGGTTATATACTGAAATTAATGTCAGCTTTGCTTTTTAGTGTTCATCATATTTTCCCCTTATCAGGACTCCTGCAATCTCTGGCAAATGTATATCAACATGTAACCATCGAGGAACATCTGACAGCTCAATTGTCAGCCTGAACACAACACAAACAATTTACATTGCTACTGCCACCCCCATCCCCAGGCTCAATTGACAGATTGCATAACTCAGTTTTCCATGTAAATGCAGCCGACATGGTTCAGCATTTAGTTCAAAATACTGAGTCAGCACCTAACGAAACGAGGTTAGGTGACTCAAGATTTGGAAGCCCTTCAAACAGCTAGAAGAATATTTAGTTTACCCATGCTTTATTATGATGGAGATAACCCTAGTTGCACTAGGCTTGCATACTTCTCGTTTCTCTAGCTCCGCCATGGGAACACTGGAAGTTTCTGAATCTGTTTTAGACTAAGCATAGTTTAGTGTGTTCTATGAACCCTAAACTGAGGTTAATCTTAAATATGGTTTGTGAAATCAAGGTAATTTTATAACTCTTGATTTGAAGTCAGCTTTCTACAAATAAGTCATAGTTAAGATTAACCACTGTGTGTTGGGGTGAAATATCAGGCCAAGGTTAATTTAGAAAACAAAGAGAACTGAACATTTCTGAATTCCTTCTCCTCAGGACTGTGCATAGGAACAGCAGGAAGAGGGGGTGTCTGTGGGAGTGAGATAGTTTTTGCCATGATAAATCATGATTCATTGTGGTGCC